GGCATGGAGCCCTCAGGAGAAGCTGGGCTTCCTTCAAGACGTGGGGCCAGAGGCCAACACCCCAACATAGAGAGCTTTAGAGTCCAAGAGGACATGTCCATGGTCAAGTCTGCTGACAGACAGGGGACTAGGGACTAATTTTCCAACTTCTACCAGGAACAAGTCTTCTGGAATTCTCTTAGGCGCTACAAGGCTACACAGGAGGCCTAGAGCCTGAGGGCCCATCCCTGCTACAGGGAGCTTACACACCTGTGGGGAGGTGAGTTGAGGGTGATCTTCCCTCAGCCTCAATCCACTCTCCATACATAATATATCCCATTACAAGAGCTAGAATCCTGGGAGTCACTGTTTTCCTCCATCTCCCTCACTGCTCATGTCCCACCCATCACCACACCTAGTAACTTGACCTCTAGAATCTCTCTATGGTCACAATCAGCCAAATTCCTCCCTTGGACAATAGCCCATCCTCACTGGTCTCCCAGCTTCCTCTCTGGCCCTGCCCAGTCCACTATCTGCTTTCTGGGATGCAAATGTCACCACGTTCCACTTTGGCACAGAAACTTTCCTACTGCTCGTAGGATAAAGACTTGAACACAGCTCGTGACTGATTGGGTCCCACTCAGCCTGTTGCTTCCCTCTGCCCAGAACTCTCTTCTCTCCTGTCTTTTCCAGGTTACCTCTCACTTACTCCAGAGCTCGGCTCACATGTCATTTCCTCTGGGAACCCAGGATGGGTTCTCTCGGTTCCTTGGTAGCAGGTACCCAAACAAAAATTTGTCCCGCTGCCCGGTACTTGTACACAGTAGGTGTTCAGTAAATATTTGTTGGACCAAGGGCTTCACTGAGACAAACAGCCAGGGGGACGAGGCATCTACAGGCCTAGCATTAAGAATGGTAGTTGAAGCAGAGACAGAAATAAGGGCAGGCACACACCCCCTCTTGATTTCTGCCTCCCAACAGCCCCATGAGTGTATTGTAAATGGGCCTGTAGAAGTTAAGTGTATTGTAAATGGGCCTGTAGAAGTAACATGCTAAGCCGGGAAATGGTGAAGCCAGGATTTGAACCCATGTCCAGCTGACTCCAAAGCCCCTGCTCTTTCTCCTGCAGGATTCTACTCAGGAGTCTAATTAGGATGACTGGGGCTCAGTCATATAGACGGTAGAGAGGGCAGGAAGGGTCCAAGCCAAGGAATCGGCATGAGCGAAAGCATGGTGGCATAAGAAGGCCAGTGTGCTCAGAGAAACACAAGAGTTGAAGGAGGGCTGGAGGAAGTTCTAGAGAACAGAAAGCTGAGAGCCAGAGCAGTCCAAGGGAAGGAGGTCACTGCATGCCAGCCTTAGAAGACTAGGTGTTATCCTAGACTACAGATAGCATGACCTTACACTCGACCCCATGACAGAGACAGTCACCAACTACTCTGTTGCTGTAAGTAGGTGAGCCCCATGTAGACTTTTTAGCAGCAGCACGTCATGAGGCCCGGCACAGAATGGAAACAAAAGCAAATGAAGGCAAGCACCACATACTTCTCTCTCAGAAACGGGACCTGGCTATGGAGAAGATCGGGGCCCCAAAACAGTTCTTGAGAGTGAACCACATCCCACTGCCCCGTTCCAAACCCCCAGCCCTCCGCCCTTAGGAAGCCTTCCAGGTCAAGAGGGCAGTTCGGTTCTCCTAACCACACTCCGCTTAAAGCACCACTCCCACGCCCTGCTCCTCTCACCCACTGCCCACATGCGCTTTCTCACTTCACAGCAGAATGAAGCACTGTCAGATTTTTAATATCAGATCCATATTATCTCATTAATCCCCATTCCTCAATATTTCTCTGGCCCGTCTTGCATTATTACAGCTCTCTATTGCATTATAACCTCCTGCAGGGCTGAACGAGCCCACTTCACGCCTTCGAATGGCCACTGGCGTGTGCAGGCAAACACCTCATGCCCGCTTGGGCCTGAAAGCATTTCAGTTTGTGTTTATATATTAGCTAATTCCAAATCCACCAGGCAGCCAACATTTCCTGAGGGCCTACTATGCACCAAACGCTCGTGAGAATACAAAAAAATGGTGTGAAATACAAGATAGGGCCCAAAGCTTCCTCCTATCCAGTCCTAGGAGCTCTCGGACAATTGTACCAGAAGCAGGACATATTTCTTCCTTAGATCCTCACTAGAGCAACAAGACTGCATCTCATGAAAAACTATAACAATACAAGCTATAAGGGAAAGTTCGAGGGAAGGAGTTCTCAAGTCAGTACCTGCTTAAGTATCATGTGATTGACACAGAAGAAAGCGAACAGCATTCAGAAAAGCGAAAGCCGCAGAACTTTGGACTAGGCTGAGGAGAGAAGACTTCACAGAAGAGCAAGAAGACTAGATCTGAGCCTTAACCATCAAGGAGAATTTTCATTTGTGGAGGAAAGGGAGATGCCAGTGCAGCTGGGCAGAAGCACTAAAGAGAAGACTGCCTAAGACTATGCTGGAAAACTACCCACAGACCTGACCGGGGGACTCTGATTTGGCCCAGACAGCACTGTGGGGACATAACCATTCCAAAAAGTAACAGCTCTATGCACGTGTGTGTCTATGTGTGTGTGCATGTGTCACTGCATCACTGGCCAAGGCGATTATTCAGATCTGAGGCCGGGCTGCTTCTCCCATGGGAATCAGCCAGCAGGCAATACTTAGGGCACTGAAGGTACTACCAGGAGGTGCCAATCTTAACAGTGATGCTTATCATGTTCTTGAAAGACTCCCCTAGTGTCAGCCATGAAGACCAGAGGAATAGGGAAGGCCTAGATGAAGAGCCCAGGACACCAGCCTAGCAGCACGTCCAGCCCCGGCAGCCAAGAGTTGTTGCAGCTACAGTTCTTACTCAACAGGCCTCATTACAGGGTGTGGATTTCAGAGTGTGCCCAAGATCATCACAGCATGGGGTACTTAGGGCAAGTTCTGTCTCTTCCCATCAGCTTCTTGGTCTAAACATGGCAGGGGCGAACTGTACGACCTGTAAGGACCCGTCTATACTACAGCTCTAAGACCCAAAGGATTCATGAAATTCCCATCTGCTCAGCAATGGGCAAGAGTTCACCCAAGCGCCAGCCTGACCCGCTTACTTCTGCGAGGGAGACCGCCAGCCAGCCGTGTCTGCGGTGGAATCTTGTGTAACAGCTTTGAGAGCCGGCACAGATAATCCCATCACCATGCCAACAGGTCAGCTCTGTTATGACACTGTTTTGGGGATACAAGGTCAGTGAGCTGAGAGTCCCAGATTCGGTTCTCCTCCAATTAGGCCTGGATTAGGGCGAGCCTCTGCTCCTCGTGACCTTTATTTTCAATGATGTAAAGTGAGGGCCAGTTACCTTCCAGCTTGTATTCTCCAAGCCCCCTCTTCCACATGCCCCAGAGGGTGGTCAGAGGGGTCACCAGGGGCAGGATGAAACAGCAGAAAGGGGCAGGCTCAGAGCCAAGCATACCTGGGTTCGATTCCTGACTGATCCTGTGTACTACTCCTTCGGACTTGTCCTACAAGCCTTGGTGTCACTGGGAACATCATGCCTACATCCTGTAGGGTGTTGGGGATGATTTGAGCTAAAGTATGGTACCTAAAACAGGTACCTAAAACATAGTAGGAACTCAGTGATTGGTAGTTATGATCAAAAGCACTTTTACAACCAAAATGCAACAGACCAATAAAACAGGAGAAAAATCTGTAAGCACATAAGGGAATGCAGTGTATGATACAGGCAGCATTTCTACTCAGTGGAACTGAAGTGGATCATTCAATAAATGGTGTCAGGACAACTGAGTGCTACTTTTTGTTGGTGGCAAGAGCAGGGGAAGGAATAGCTAGATCAATAACTTTCTCCTTAAACTACGACAAATTCTCGATGAAGTGAAGATTCAAATGTAAATAATAAAACCTTACCAGTTCTACAAGAAAACATGGATGAAAGTTTTAAAATCTTGTAGGGGAGAGGAATGCTTTCTAAGTGTGCCATTAAAAAAATAATAATAAAGAGCCAGAAAGGGGGGTGGGGGTGGGGAATTCAGCCACATAAAAACCTAAAACTTCTAATCAAAAAAAAAAAATTATGGTGAACTAAAATCTTTGCAAGACATACAACAGTTACTTGTCAACTAAAAATTGGGAAGGGCCTACTGAGTATCAGTTACTGCGTTTCTAACATTCTAAAAGTTCTCACTAACCAGTTCCAGCAAATGAGCCCCTAGTAGAAAAAGGAGCAAAGGATATGAACAAGCAATGTGGAAAATAAGAAATACAAAATGGCCACCAAGAATCACATAAATGCAAACAGATGTAATATATAATTTTTCTGCTACCATATTGGCAAAGAATGAAAATGTCAGCAAAACTCAGGCTGGCCGGAGTGTGGGAAGCACATTCTCATGCAGTGTGGGCACCCTTTGAGGGCAGGTATCGAAATGCTTTATGTGCATATCCTCTGACTCTACAAAGATGTTCACTCAAGTTCGTTTATAATACAGAAAAATTGGAAACAACCATCTAAATATGCGCAAAGGGAAGACCAGCCAAGTTAAGTATGATATTCATAGAATAATTCTGCAATCCTGTAAGCCAGTCGGAGCCGGGGAGGAGGGGAGGCTGCACACGCCCGGGGGGCCGGCATCTGTAATCTAGGATGGATGGCAGGGGGTGCGAATCACAGCCTGGCTGCCTGCCTTCCCTAGGATGTGGAGGAGAGAGGGTGGCTGTACTGTGGCTTTGCTCTAACATCTCAAGCAGGAAGATCCCCCAGGTTAACAGGGAGGCACTGAAGGCCTAGTAGGCTCAGGAGCCAGGACAACTCCTGGGCAGTGTTCTCAGTTGGGGACCCACCCTCTGGCCCAGACACACACAGGGTCCACCTGCTACACTGGCCATGCCTGAGATCCGCAGGCCAGCTGGGGCTAGGCTTTAGCTCAGAATCTGCCACTAATGTGCAGATGGACATGGTCATCAGGCCTCAGCTCTGGCGACCATGGTGCAGGTCAGGAGAAGTCAGGGCAAAAAGGAAGACAGGGCACAGAAGAATCCGGTAAGGGAGTTTGGGAAGTCAGACTGACTGCCCCACGGGTTCTCTGCCCTTCTCTGAAGAAAGTCCTAGCATAGAAACCTCTGCTCAAACACAGGCTAAAATGGAAGCCCAGGTGGAAAATACATATGCCCACCATCAAGGGGCCAGTCACATGGACAGGAGGGCCGAGGCCCTCTTGTATGCCAGCTCTGTGCTTGCTCCTCTCCGAGAGGCTCTGAGGAAGAGGCAGAGTCCCATCCTCCAGAAGCAGTCAGGTGGGGAGAAGGGACGCCAAAGAAGGCAGGTCAGAGGAACCAGCTAGAGGTCAGAGTGGCTCCCGGGGCAGGGACCACAGACGGTTCCTGGAGGTCTAGTCTGGGAAAGTCTGGAGGTCAAGTCTGGGAAACAGGCAAAGTCAACTCTGGGATCCAGGGAAGAAACACACATAGGACAAGCCCAAGGAGAGGTCCCCACCAAGAGGTGGCTGAGTCTGTTCTGACCAGAATAGGAACAGTGAAGGGAGAAAGTGTGTGAGAGGTGGCAGGGACAGAGCTGGGGACTGCCAAGAAGTCAAGGAGATAATCATTTAGTAAATCTGCTTTGACTGAGGAAAGCCAGAGCTGGCTCACACAGCTGCATGCTCCCGTGGCAGCCTACACACCTGCCAGCCTTCCTTCCCCAGGTAGGCAGCACCTCGTTATCCTAAGACCCCACAGGGCTGGGTTCTTGGCAGCACAAGGAAAGGAAGTCGACCCTCTTCGGGCCTGTGTTTGGGGCCAGCCCCAAGCAGAGAAGAATGAGGCTGCAGGGGCACAGGGCCCTGTCGCACACTAACCCCCCACAGAGAGAAGATAAAGGATCAAGAAATACTTCAGAAGCAGAATGAAAGACACCATCCTCCACCCAGGATGGAAACCTGGACCTTTCTTGTCTTTCTCATGCCCTAAGCCTAACTGGAGAGGGGGCTGTCCACGGGAGAGGCAGCAGACCTGGGAAGGGGAAGTGGACAAAGACCATCAGCTTGAGTGTGGGCCTGGGAAACGCCAGCTACCTGGCAGGACAGGCACTGCAGTGCTGGGTCACATGTGCTCAAACATCTTGCAACCTGGACTGTCTTCCTCAATGCCTTATTCCCTGAGTGCCAGGCACATACTAGCACACAGTAGGAGCCTGGCCTGAACTGACACTGAAAAAAGGATGCTCAGTGGGCAGCTGGAAGTCCGTCTCTGGAGGTCAGCGCAGAGAAGGCATCTAGTGAGAGTCTAGAACTGGGGGTCATCAGCAAAGAACGTGCACCTAAGCTTTCTGAGTGCTGACTTGCTGTTAGGCACTGTTTGGGGAGCTTTATAGAGATTAAGGCAGTCACTCATCATAGCCACCCTAGAGGTAAGCATCATTATTATCCTAGTCTACAGGTGAGGAAACTATGTCACAAGAAGGTTAAGCAACTTGCCAAAGGTCACGAGGCTAGAAGGTGTAGAGCCAGGACTGGACCCAGGCAGAGTGGCCCCTCTTCATCACTATGCTATGGAAATCAGGCCAAGAGTAGATAAGCAAGTGTGCAGGGAGAGGAAAGAAAGGGCCCAAGAACAGATGCCAGGGCAACAGCCATGATCAAGGAGCAGCCTCAGAGAGAGGAGCAGGAGCGTGTCAGAGGCTGCCCCGCAGTTAGTGCTCAGAATGTGTTCAAGTGAGTCAACGAACAAACGAGTCGGTGATGGCTAAGGACTGAGGTGATGCAGACACCGCGAAGTAGACAGCTAGAAGAAAGAGGCGGGGTGTGGTCAGTGGTGCCCCACAGCAGGGAGGCCAGGAGGATCCCCGATTTGGAACTGACTAGAAGCTGCCAGCCTGGCTGTCCCAGAGCACAGGGCTTGGTACTCAGCCTGGGGATGGCTGAGCCATAAAAGGCCTCAGTCAGCTCTGTGTGGCTACAAAACAGTCGCTTCGTCTCCGGCCATGGGGACTCTCGCTCTATGCCAAGTTCTTTCAAGTGTGGGAAGGATCTTCTCCCCCAAACACTTCACAGCTATTTCTAAAGCTCACACTCCAAGATGTTGCCTATTTATAACCAGAAATTCCTCCATAACCAAACTGGACAAAGAAGAGAGGCAACTCCATATTGTCTTTGATGTTGTTTGAAATAAGAAGAGCTCAGAATTGCGTCCTTGACTGTATCCAAGTTACTCCTTTTCCCCATATATGGCTGGATCCACTGTTTGCCAGAACAAGTCGTGTTTTCCTTATTAAGCAATATACAAAGTTAGCAAACAGAGCCTGGTCGCTGCCCCACATCCCAACCCGAACTGTCACAGCTGGAGCAAGGGCCTGACCAGGCTGCAGTGCATCAGAGGGCCTCAGCAGCTCTAGGGTGCAGACCAGAACACTGGGCCAGGGATGGGGAGCCTGTCCCCAACAGGCCCAACACTGACCAGGCCGTGAGCGTCAACAACTGCAGTGCCTACTGGGTGCCAGACTCTGAAAAAAGTCACATTGAATCTGCACAACAGCCCTAAGGTGTGAGTATTATTATCTCCGTCTTACCAATGAGCAGAGTGAGGCTTAGAGAGGCCACATAATCTGTTCAAAGTGATCCAGTTGGGATGGTGCAGGTGGAGGTGAAGGTGTCTGTCTTCATAGGCCATCTTTTTTTTACCCCTTCATGGGTCATATCTCCTCTCTAGATCTTGGTTTACCCATCTGGAAACTGAGATGGCTGGAAAAAACATTTCTCAACCCCCTCCAACTCTCACATCAGCACTTATTCTGTTACGGGTGTCAGAACCTTCCAACGTGCCCTCTGTCGAGGTCTGGAATGGATGAGTGGTACAGGTATGTGGAGACACAGCTCTTCCCCAACCCCAGAAAAGCCCTGACACAGGCGCATGGGTGGCATGGGGCCTCTGCGGCCGGCCCAAGACTAAGAACAGAGTCTCTCTCCTCCCTGCTCAGTGCCTCTCGGCTCCTAAGATTCTCCAGCCTTCAAGGCCCCCTCCAGGAGCCATGCTGCCCTGCAAAGCCCCACCACATCCACAGCCTGCTGTCTGGGCCTGCAAGCCTGCCTTTGACTACCAGACCTCTGAAATTTGACATACAAGACTGAAGGAATGACTATGGAATTGAGTGGTGGGGCCCAAATGCTCCATGCTCCCAGGTAGACAGATCCAGTGTGGCCATGAAACAGATGGGACCCGTGCCCTACTAGGTGTCTTTGGAAAATGTAGGACTGGGGCTCACTTCCCAAGGTCACCACTACTCCTCAGAGCTACCTGAGATGGGCAACCGGTTAAACCTGTGGGCTGCAGAGCTCCAGACCAGCCTTCCGGATATGACTCTCTGGATTCGGGCCCCAAACCTGCAGGCTTAGCCAGCACCCAGGATTTGATGACGGCATCAGTGTGACCCACTGCCCTAGGATAATTCATGCTGATTTCTTTCCCGGTCCTTCCACTGCCTCCTCTTCTCTATATGTCAGCCTAAAACACGTGGCCTGTGGGCCCCAATAAAATGCCACACACCTGTGATTTTTCCTTTACAAGTGGCATTTTTTAATGTTCTTCGCATTAACCTGACAATAATAAACAAAATAATAAACCTTCAAGCTGCTTCTCATACTCGCAGGAGCTACAGCATCTTAATCCACACAGGGATAAAGAGTGAACCCTTTCCAGCTCCCACCCTCTGAGGAACCCACCTTCTCTACATTGCTTCTGGTGTATGCCGTGCAGGGGTTACAACAATGGATCGGTTCAATGAATTAATAAACATCAGCTAAGTGAATACACAAATGACTATCTAATCTTTGAGAAGCCAGTCTCAAGCAGTCGACCTGTTTCCCATTGGTAAAATTTTTAAAGATTAGCAAATGTTCCAAGAAATGATGATTACCTTTGGATGACAGAAGTGTTTAAATCTATGATGACAGTTTGTCTGGTATCATAACCTGATGTACCTTTTCCAACCAGGCGTTGACTGGGTGCCATGATTTTCTAAAGACATTTCATCTTGCCCTGCGACCAGCTCCCCCTGACCTGCTACAGTTCGAAACCATTTTGTGGAGCGCTGCCTCCCGGGACCCATCACCACCCATACTTCAGGCATCTGTCTTCTTTTTTGTTTTAAATTAGAATAAAATGTTTATCCTTTTAATTAATAGCATGTATTTTTGTCAAATTTTTAAATGATACAAAAATGTATAAAGTAAAACATGAAAGCCTGACCCAAGCATGGCAGATGAGTTGGTATCCTCCTTTCTCAGGAGACCCTTTGACCTCAACACTTCGCCGGCTGAAGTGAAGCAAAATCCACAGACTCAAACCCCCGTCCCCCATTCTGCCACCACCAGACTCCAGCACTTTAACCCAGAGCTGCCACACTGGAAGAAGTGGTCCTCCCATGACTAAGGGATGCCCCGCCCCCCAACCCAGAGACCCGGGGCGAGCTGGAGGGGAACGGACAGCCCAACGGTCCAGTGGCAAAGTGCCAATTCCAACTGTCACAGTATTGTTAAAAGTCAACTGTCTCCCAGGGAGGTGGTTACACAGGTGTTTGCTTTATAGCAATTTGTTAAACTGAACGTTTTCTATATGTGTTGTATTTCACAATTTTTAAGGTTAAAAAAGAAAGACAAGGCAACTGTCTTTGTGGAATGTAAACCCTGGTGAATGCCAAACTCAAGCAGGTGCCAGAATCACCCCCCCCCCGCCAGGACTTAGCCACTAGCAAGGTCATGTGCAGAGCAGCCCAATGAGTCAAGACCCCAGAATGCCACTCAACCCCTAGGGCCAGTCGGCTCTGGGCCTGCACTGATGAGAAGAAGGCTGTGCCCACCCCCAATTAAGTACCTTTGTTCCAGGATAGGAGAAAAACTGGGGTGGGCACACGTGGCTCTCTGGACCCTCCCCACCACCGACACACCCTGCTGGCCTCTGCACCTTGTGGCCCATGACACTCAGGTAGCAAAGCTGGGGATGAACTGGAATCTGAGGACGCCCTTCAGAAGAGAGAGAGAAACACTGCAC